TCACCTCTCTTTCCACCCGTTCCATCCATCTCCTCGACACAAGGCTCATGGCATCCGACATCAGAACGCCGTAGCTGCAGCCGGGAGGGCTTCCAACAGTAACTGGTAGGGAGGAAGGAAAGCAGGAAGGAGTTTTAAAGGCACCTAAACAACTATTTTTAACCTTATTTTCCAAAGAGCATTTGCTCTTTCGTAAACAACATTTAAGCATCTACTGGTTTATTGATTAACATCGGGCGGTCGATGCTTATTTGGCATTAGGCAAAACGCCTGTTTGCAATAAGACCTAAATGGTTTACATCTGACAGGAAAGTATTAAAGCAGGAAAAATGGTAACCCACGTTCAAAAAAAAAAAAAAAAGGGGGGGGGGGAACATGGGATCTTCTAAAAGTTATCTAGGGTAGCTATTACTTAAAGTGTTTTGTGTCCCAGAGCTAGCAAAAATTTTCTACATTTTTGACAAATTCAAAGAGAAACCAAGAAATGCATGTTAAAGTACACACAATTTATTCATTCACTGGTGATCGACATATATTTCCACATACTGACTACCTGGTCAGGCAGGAGAAGGAATATTTTTGATTCCTTTGCCTCCACAAAAGTTTAAAGACTCACAAAATGTTGACGTTGTGATTTCCAGCAAGTCAACATTTCTCATTGCTTTTTTCACTTCTCGCTTTCAAATAGTGTGAAACCACAGGGATTTTTCTACTCCATCAAAGTCTCTGTTAGAATAACCTGCACAGATCTCTTCCCGAGGAAAAAAGAGGGGAGAAGATACCAAAATTGCCTATTGAAGACCAATTAAAGAAAATTTAATTGACCCTGCACATAAACAGCACCACCTTTCCCCTGGAAAATTCCAGTTGCATCTTAATTAAGGCCGACAACGCCGGAAGGTAAACTAATGCTATACCAAAGTAATGTAGCGTCCTGCCCTGTGTTCTGGCCCAAGTTGTCAGTTAGGATAAATACTAAGAGCATTAAGGCCACTGTACTTCACAATCAGAAATAGCTTTACAGCAGTTTTCAAAGGATGTAAAACTCACTGAATGGTGACCAAATATAAACGAAGATTAATTCTAGTAAAACCTTCACAGTTATAGGCCACGGGGACAATAAATATGTGATCAGTGGTGCAAGAAGGTTAATGAAAGGAATGACTGCTGGAAAGAAAAAGACTTCTGAAAATGTGTGCTGTCACATCAGAGGTGGATTAGATACGGAAAACCAATACAAAACCAGAGAAAAGTGTCACTGCGAGAACTTAATCAAACAACGTGTGCTGATTTTTCTAATGCAGTGGGAAAAGCTGACTTTCAGACTTCAGACACGCTGAAGAGTGGCCTTTGCCACCTACTGGAATCCAAAACAGGCTGTTCCAGAAGTCTGCAATGATTTTAGAGAAAGCCAGTGCTGTAAGTAGCAGCTTAACCCTACCAGAAGCTGTCGTCTTCTGTCCCTGCAAGCAGCGTGGCAGGCAGGGGAGACAACCTCCTTCCCTACCGACCTCCGCGCGGGAAAGGCTCGGCCGAGAGAGAAAGGTTTGACTCGCCGGCACTTACAGTCAACCCTGGCTCTGTCTCTGCCCGCACCGCTGAAAACAAGACCTACAAGGGAGAATATGGCAGGGGGGTGAATTCACCAGGCAGAGAATAGTTGGCATAGTTTTAACCATTTTTAATTAAAGAATTTAAAAGAGAACTATAAAACTTCAAGCCTTGCAACACTAACAAATAAATACTGCCTCTGATGTTATCTTGTGCTGGAAAATACTGGTTTCCCTGATCGTTTCTAACAGAGCTTGAAATTGTCATGGGATTTTGATATTTTCCTCCCGGCTGCCTCGACACCTTCACACCAGGACAGCCCTGGGCTGAATCCTGGCCCTCGGTCCGCTCCACGGCAGTAACGTGCCAACACTGCCCTGCCACAGCAGGGACGGCCACGCTCCTGACGCTCGGATCAGTTTACGGGCTGCTCCAAGCAAGCGACACACAAGAGCTTTCTCACATCATCAGTCCCCATGGACTACTTGCTATTTCCCGTGTTTTGGTTGACTCAGCCATAGATGTAAAAGCCAGCACCCATGCATCGACAGGATTTGCGCTGCGCTCTGGAGAATGCCAAACCTAGAACGATTAATGGATCGATCAAAGTCCACAGGTTTCCCATCCGCAGCAGACAGTGCATCCACAACGTCTAGTTACGCAAAGACAACTAAACCGCAAAGTGGATCATGTGCTTTGGCTGCGCCAAACGCCGCACCAGAGAGCAAAAGCACGCAGAAACCAACCTCCACACCATGTTACTGGACAGACTCTCACAAAACACAAACACACTTGTGAATACAGAAAACTGTCAGTTAATCTTTTAAGTATCTCTTATACCTGTTCCAAGATACACAATGTAAACAAGCTAGAAAATAAATTATCTTATTTTCAACAGTTATGGTAGGAGACAACACTCACACCGGTACCCAAACTTTTACTGTACAATAGCTTCAAAACTGTTTCCGCCTTTTTCAAGAGGACAGTGCTGAAAAGGGACTGGTTCTCAAAGAACATCAGCCAAAAAAGGTTCACGTATCTCTTCAAAAGTGTGAGGAGTTGAAAATATATGAAGTTTTGTTCTGTTCTAAGACTGAAGGCTGACATAGTGCAAAAAGGCGAGAAACTTTCTCAGGGGTGCTCTAACGCTCTCCCTCCCACAAGTAACCTGACATGTGCATGTATAAACTACAACGCTGTGTATTTGCTACAGAAAAGGTCCAGTGAATATTGTGCATTAGAGAATGCCTGCCACTTAGAAGCGCAAGCTAAAAACAATGAAAAAAATATGTACTCCTATCGCATGCCCGTATTGGAGGAGTGCAGCTGCACTCTTCAGAGGCAGATCTCCCCACCCCACGGGTCAGCAGAGATGGGGCTCTGCTCAGCCCCGTCGTGTGACCCAGACCACACATGCCACATTGTGTGGTGCTCACCAGGCAGAGCACAGCCCCTCGTGCGACCCACGGTCAGCCTGAGTCCGTGTCTGCTGCACTAAAGCTTCCCACACAACAATAAAATAGGTGCCTGCGCCCAACAGCCATGGTTCATATAAAATTTCTGAGAACGTACGTTCACTTTTTAAAAAATGTGGGGCTTTAAAACAAAGTTTTATCAATTACAGCCTGCACTCGAGGGTCATTTCATTGACCGTGGAAATACAGCAAGCTCTGCCAACTCAGAGACTGCGGCTCCGCTTCTCTTCTGCGGCATTTTGCAGGACAGAACATTACCTGCATCTTCAAAGGAAAAATTAGGAAGAGCGAGTACAAATTACCTGCGCTGGAATTTAGTCAAAATGGTAACTCTCACACAGAGCAGTATTTAGTGACCTGCACGGGCGCAGGAAACGGGTAAGTCATACTCTTTGATAACAGGACTTCTCATTTTTTGCATCAATGTTGGCTCAGGGCTAACAGGGATCAAAGCACATCACCCAGTGAATCACGAGGATGCTTCTGAAGCTGTCCCTCAAGACGTGCCGCATCAATTCAGACATACCACGGCCCTAATCCTGCGCTAACGTGGTAGATGTACTACCCACTTGCTCACAGGGGAAGGAGGAAACAGCAGCTTCATTTTGTTATCTGTAGCCTGGCTACCAGCTTAGGAACAAGGCTTATTTATTGCTACCCCTTTTTCTCCTCTCTCTCCTCCAGCAATTAATTCATCGGGCAGTTTAAACACACTGAAAGAAAAAGTTTTTCCAACACAGATGAAGAGGCAGAAGAGCCTCGTTAGCAGAGCCTTTAGACAATCTGTAGCACATGCAGAGCTCCAGACTGAAGCCAGGACACTCTCTCTCAACCAGAGGGGATGTCACTGAAAACACAGGGGGAAAGACGAGGAACAAGGCGAAAAGACAGACTGGGTTATGCTAGCTGAATTGGGAAAGGAAAGAGAAACATAACAAATTTAGAAGAAACTCTCCATGCTGCTGCTCAGCAAGCACTTTTAACTCTGCATCTCAGCGAGATGTAAAAGCTCATGCAAGGAGCTCCTCAGCAAGACACACGCATGCAGAAACTGAAGCTACCAAAAACTGACGTACAGCCAAGGGGAGCAAATACTCCTGAGTGGAATTCCACAGGCAAAAGCCGGTGCTGACCTAACTGGAAACGGATAAAATTCAAAAGGCCATTAACAAAGGACTAGAAACAACCCATCCTCCCTTATCCCACTGCACACTGAGTTTGCAAGACCGCAACACCTGCGGTAAAAGATGCCTTTTTATATAATTATATACCAAGTCTACGCCTAACATGGTTTGTATGTTATGGACACAGCACCTGCGTGACACCCACCAAATCCAACTTATGCACTGCTAATTTATTAACTCAGGGAAGAGGCCTGAATTTCACACTTCAAGGAAAAGCTCTACCTTTCTTCCTGATCAGACAGACACCACCAGGGATGGATTCTGACAACCTGTTAGTGATGACCAATATAACTCCTTCCACTAGAAAGAGGTTATATGAGAACTGCATGAGGAGAGCACAACCTGACAGCTATCAATCATAATTCTTTTTCCCAGCTGTCAGGGACACACCAAAATGGACAATAAATTGTATTCCATTTGATGCCCTCAGTGACTGCTACACAACATGATCACTGGGGACTTTTTGAAGCTTAAGCCTCATCCTGACAGTTTTCTTTCCAACAATTCACGTAGACCTTGTGCGGCGGCACCCATCAGTCCAATTCAGCGACCGACTCTACGAGATCACTTGGCCGGTATTACCTCTTCCAAGCGACTCCCCATTCCCCTGTCCTCCCCAGCGTTGTGGACATATACGATACCATCACTAAAAAAAGCACATGATTTTTAAGCAAATGAAACCACAGTTTGCTACACAGAGGTAAATGAGTTCAATGGAAGCATTTAACTTTATCTTCCGGCATATTCAAAGCACAAATCACATTGTTCATTTGAGGTGACAATGCCATACCTTATCACATCTGGTTCTGTGCCTTCATTCTTGTAAGATGCCTGAAGTTGTTTGTGTCGCGTGAGAAGGTCATCCACCAAATTCTGCCTCCTGTCTCCCTCCAGCTGTGTGCTGATGACATTCGGTTAAGGACCAAACTTAAAAACACTGAAAAACTTTAATTTTATGATATAAAATACTACCTGTCGTACATTCTTAAAATAAAACAGACCTCCTGATCATCAAAATTAAACAGAGCAACTATTTTAAATCTGCAACATCTAAGAGAAGGACAGGTCGCATTTTTCCAAATGAAATCTGCTGCTATTCTAAATGTGTTTCTGAAGTTTACGTATCTCAAAGAAAAAGTTTTATACAGTGACCACAGACTGATCTTCAGGTCATCATCTCAAAGTAAAAAGAGAACTGGAAGGTTACTGCCAAATTAGCATAAGTATTAAGAATAGCATTTCCCCTCCAAAATCCAACATAGTTCTTCTTTCATATATTACTAAGAAGTCATACGTGTTGATCTCTTCTAGAACACTGACAATGTATAACACTACTGCATGGGTTAAGTTCAGGAAAGGATGAGTTTTCTTACAAGAGCTCCAACTTACACTGTTATGATATAAACGGGGCAGGCCCAAACAGAATAGAGCTTTTGAAATCAGCAGGGTACCTCACATCTTGTTTCACTGGAGGATCGTAACGCAGCCAAGGTGAGTCGCTCCCAGGCAAGCGATCAGCGAACAACCAAAAATTTACTTTGAGCATCTGCTTGCATTTGCAATTCATCAGCAGAACACCCCGACAGACACTGATGCAGCAGAAAAACAATTCGGGCAGTATCTCTGAAAGACAAGATGCCCTGAAGTGCTGTGGCTTCGACGGGTAACACGTGTTTGCTTTTTTTAATTAATCTTAGTGACATTTTGAAGGACTCCTAACTCTCTTCCGAGTACTGTTCAGGAGATTATGCAATAGCTGAACTGATTTGTGTGTTTTCTGCCGCAATAGTAGCATTCCTCCGCTCTCAAGCACTCACTGGACAGGAAAGTTTTACCCCTGGCCATCAGCAGAGCGCTCAGGGGGCCTGTGCTTAGAAGGGATTTCTGCTATACTAAGCCTGACATTAAACATTCATTCATTAAATCTGATTGCTGCTGGATATCTTCAGGGAGACGGATGTACTTTGACTCCTTAAGTCTGACTATCCCAGTGCATGGAAAGAGCAGGAAATCCAAGCCAGGCCACAGGGTAACGCTCCCAGAAGAAAACCTGTGATTTTTCTTTCTAAGGCATATTTTAAAGCACTTTGACATCATTCTGAAGATGCAGTTCCATTGCTCCTTAGGTCAGCACAAGTCAGAGCCGCCACATCCCTGCCCACACCCTGAACAAGGCTTCAGCCTCCCTTTTGGCAAGCACCGGCACTCCTGCAGCCAGCGACTGAGCCAAGAGAAAAATCACAGATTAGCGAGCTTTCTGCTAGACGAGCGACCTTAGCTCACAAACCACTCAATCAGCAGCGTGGGCACAGCGCAGAGGCAAGACGATGGCAGCCCTGAGATTATTCCGACCATCTTTGAATCACAGAATCTTGTCAAGCTTCTCTCTGACACAACCGTAACCAAAGCCAGCCTCGTGCCCACCATGCCAGCGATGCCCCGGCTCCCAGCTCTTCCTGCACTACAGCTGCAATGAAAATATTAAACAGCTGTACGGATAAAGTTCTAGTGACTTCTAGTCTTCTATAAATGGAATGAGGGAAAAATCCTAACTGCGTGGCAGAGCAATTACAGCGTATTTTTCCACTCTCTCCCACCATACAGAAAGGTCGGCGAGCTGATGTTTACACAGATACATTTGGTGTGTTGATACAGCCCGAAGCAGTAAGTCCTTCAGCTGATCGATCTTCTCTCTGAGATTCTGCAACGACGATCTGATAATCACATTGAGCTGAAGGGGAAGAAAGAGATTTTTTTCAGTCTGAGTTACATTTGCAGAAAATGTCATACTACTACACACAAGTGACAATATATTTAATTTCAGCTATACTGGTCTGAAGATCTCCATTCGAAACCAAGAAAGCCTGCCTGAGAGCCACAAAGGGAACGATGCAGTTAACTGGTTTGGACTGCTTACAAAATAAGGAGATAAATAGTACTAGTTTCGCAAACACATTTCTAATGCATTAATGCTGTTTAATATGGAGAGCTTGCTTTCAAGTCTTTACAAACACACTCCTTTACATGGGCAAAATATTTCAGCACATTTTAAGATTTTTTCCAGTTAGTAGTTTTCCAGTTCTTTCCTCTGATCTTTAATACAAGTAGAGGCATCAGTTTCTTCTGAGAAGAGAAAAGCCTGCTACAGGTTCAGATGTTCCCTCCACTGAACTCCTCCAGACTTTAAACTAAAGATCCCAAAGAAATTCAGATTTCCTCCATTTCCCTTCTCAGCAGCACCTATGACTCCCGACCCTTTCTCACAACCGACTGCCCAAGATTCAGACGTGTCTGTTCTTACTAAAAACGTAATGAAGTTGTTCACATTCTGCCCTGCTGCAAGCAAGCCCGAGCTCTGGGGGAATCCTCCCCCTCTCTCCCCACCCCTTCCTAGTCAGACTGACATTATCCTCTGGGGTTTTCCTCCTTAAATGTTATTTCTTTTCATTCCAGTTCTGTAGAACATACTAGGAAAAAAACATTGTAACTGCAATTAACTATGCAAGTCATCCTAATTAAGACTTTATGTGCTTCTTGTTTACAAGGTACTGGCCCCGCTGTGGGTTGTAATTGTTAGCAACCTCAGATGCTCTGTGTAATGAACTACTATTTGCTTTGACTCTCATTCCTGCATTCTTGAAGACGCGGAGGCAGCAACCAGACACCAAAGTCTCACGGAACGGTCGCCGTGCTGCAAGGATCCTGCCAAGAGCTCAACTACACTTGATATCTGCACAGGGATGGAGCGGGAGTTCCCCAAAAAATCACCTGATAGCATCAGAAGTTTAAATCTCTCTGACTCAGCGAGACTTGTTCTCAAATGCTACTAAATATGACATAAAGTGGATGCAACCACACCGAGGCAGTCTCGAGAGCACGCAGCCACAGTGGAGAGCTGCAAAATCCACCTTCGGACTCAAAGCTGCCGAACACTAAGGCAACGTTTCCAAAGCCAGGATGGGGTATAAATGCTTTTAGGAAAGGTCAACCCATTGCATACCCTCTAGCTTTGCAATTAGGCAATAAAAGCTCTTTTCATTTCACATGTACATTTGCTGGATTCACGTCCAGGTGGAGAATGCTGCATTTAAGCAGCCCCGAAAAGCAAAGTAACATAAAGGCATACATGTCCGAGAAAGTCACCTCACATACAGGCTCCCTCTGCTACTCTGGCCAGAAACTGCAGTGCTGGAGCAAAAGATTTCACTTCCATTAAAGAAAAAAAAGAAAAAAAGAAACCAATGGAAGTTTGAAGATCAGCTCCATAGAGCAGAGTTCACAGATGGTAAGTGCTGAAATCTTGAAATC